AAAATGGTTATTTTTGTCCTTCTTAATTCAATTTTCACGCTGAACTCAATAGCTTATAAGCATGTTTAAGATTGGCACCTAAAACAAATCTCTATTTTGGTTTGCAAACTAAACAAGCTTCTTTTATGAAGACGAGATTGAGTTTCTCACAAAAATTATTTAGCATGTTTAGGTATGGGTTATGAATTGTGATGAAGGAGGACTAATAATTTGTTGTTAGTTTAAGTAATTTTTCAGTGTTGAAGCTAGTTATTTGCTGTTCTGTTTAAAACTTCTGGTTTTGGTGGCTTCAAGTTGTGATCAATGTCTATTGCAAATTTTGGATGTGATCTTTTTCTGGTAATATACAGGATGAGAAGCGATGGCCTTTAATGCCTCCGTTGCCTTCATATGGGCAGGGAAGAGAGCATAAGGGAGCTCGGTTTGGGAGTTTAATTCACGGCCAAAACCTCAGAGATGTTGTCATAACTGGTTAGCTTCTTTAATCTGCCCCCTAAATAAGCCAGTAATTTCCGTTTTTAAATCATTTTTTAGTGTTTTCTTTAGTTGCTTGAATGAAAAGTTTGCTCACATGATAGTCCTTTTCAGTTTATCTGTAATCAAGGACCGGGCTAGGATCAAACATTGGGTGGGGCTAGATTGCTTTACATCAAAAGAATAAGGATCTATTAAGTATTTAAATCTAAAAGATGGGAGGGAGAAAGGCCTTATTTGCCTAATATTTAAATCAAAATGGACTTAAAATGCCATTATACCAAAATATTTGGCAAAAGAATTACTGAGAACTTACTGCAAATGGATTCTTAGTAGCTTTGACTGTGTCTGTAATCCATTCTTTGAAGTTGTGCATTTTATGATTCTGAACTTTTGGTAAAAGAATTACTGGGAAATTACTGCAAAATGGAAGTTAGATCAAGTCCATCCATTTATTTTATGACAATTATCACCAAAACTTTATAGTAAAATTCATTAGTGTATAATGGAACTTGTATTTGTAGTCTATCTACTGTGAATGAGCCAACTTAGCTTTTTCAAAGTTATAGCACATGATAGGTGATACCTATAAAATGCTATTTTTGTAGGTTGATTTCTAAACCTGTTTTGTGTTTTCTGCACCCTTTATCAAAGTTTACTATCCTGCATCCGGTATAAATTTGAATTTCACATGCCAAATTAATGAAGCATTATTGGTTGAAAATTTTTCGGCTGCTAGTAACAACTGTAATGTAGATTGATTCGCTCAAGCCTCAATTTATTCTAAAATCCTTGCAGCTAAGTGAGTCTCTTGTAGATGTGATTCGGATAAAACGATGGTTAAGACCTTTATTCTGCATAAACTATTTGTTGCCGACCAAGGCTGATTTTACCCTTTCTCTTTACAAATCAACAGGGTATAATGGTACCATAAATGGACAGGGTCAATCATGGTGGAAGAAGTTTCGCCAAAACTACTCAACAACACCAGGGGTCCACTTGTGCAGATAATGTGGTCAAGTGACATTATAATCTCTAATATAACCTTACGTGATTCTCCGTTTTGGACTTTTCATCCATATGACTGCAAGAATATAACAGTCAGGAATGTTACCATCCTGGCTCCGATATTTGAAGCCCCGAATACCGATGGAATTGATCCTGGTAAGTAATCCTCGATCATAAAATTTAAACTTTTTTCCATGAGAATTTTGGTTGCTAAGGCTTTAGATACAGTTTTTATCCTTACTATGAACAGTTGTTGTCAATGTCCATTCCTCTTGAAAAGTGTAGAAAAATATCCATTCATGCTATGAACTACACAGAAACACTAAGGAGAGAACTTATGAATTAGCATCATGAACTGAATTCTATGAAATGTGGGTAAATTGCAACAAAATTGCTTTCATTATTGTCTTTTATCTCTTTTTCCCCTTAAGTTTCTGTTGCATATCAAGTTTATCAACGTTGTTTATCATATTGCCATCTGGGTCAAATCTACACCCGTGTACACTACATTTCAGCTTGTTGATTTGATGTAGGGTAAAAGCAGAGATTATTTCACTCTAAATGTAACTAAGTGCGAGCCATTTATGTCGTAAATAGATTCTTGTGAGGATATGGTGATAGAGGATTGCTACATAAGCGTTGGGGATGATGCAATTGCAATAAAAAGTGGCTGGGACCAATACGGCATAGCTTACGGACGACCCTCAAGAAACATTCTTATCCGAAACCTCATCGTCCGCTCGATGGTCAGGTGAAGTTTCTTAAATTAGTTTTCCTCCATCTTCATGGTTTTTTTTTCATTTTTTCATAAGCCAACCATAAGCAGATAACTTTACTCTCCATGATCATCTGTAACCACTATGCGTAATATTTAATAAGTTATGTTGTCTGTGTTTTTTTTTTTCACTGAAAGATAGAAACAGAAGTCCGATTTTTTTAATAACTTATGTGTTAAACCAGTTATGAACTTATGATTTATATTTAGCATGACAGTTTTGTGTTAAATCGTGATTCCTTCCGTTCGCAAAAACTAAAATTCTGCCTTGGCTGAACCATGCCACAGTGCTGGCGTGTCGATAGGCAGTGAGATGTCTGGCGGGGTATCCAATGTAACTGTGGAGAACGTCCTCATCTGGAGCTCTAGACGTGCAGTTCGAATCAAGACTGCGGTTGGAAGAGGTGGATATGTTAGAGATATAACCTATCGGAATCTTACTTTCGATGGTGCCCGAGTTGGAATTGTCATCAAGACAGACTACAACGAGCACCCTGACGATGATTTTGACCGAAAGGCCCTCCCAATAATAAGGGACATTAGCTTCCTTGAGATATACGGTCAAGGAGTCCGTGTACCAGTTAGAATACAGGGTAGCGAGGACATTCCCATCAGAAACCTGAAATTTAGGGATATATCTATCGGGATAACAGATAAGAGAAGCACATATTCCAATGTGCCGTTGAAGGCCGTGTTATAGGGACTATCTTCCTGCTCCTTGCGAAAACCTCGATAGATACGATGAAGAAGACAGACTCATATTACGCTCTGAATCCCAAACGTAACGGATATAGACTGACATATGAGAAAATGGCGCTTCACTTCTGGGATCAAAGCTCAAAGTCATAAGAAGTGCAAGTCTGTATGAGCAAGAACAGAGCGAGCAAGCATGTTTATTTCTTTTCCATGCCGTTTTTTTGGTTCCACTTTTATAACTTGTTTGGTTCACCGAGTTGTGTACAGAGAATTTCAAGTAGTTTATAGTTTATATACATTTCCATCAGCTTACTGAAATCGAGTTCATAAATGCATTACTCCATATACAAAGTTAATACAACTTGCGTTTTTGGTAAGCGGTCATTTTCCTTGCCTAATTATTTCGTATAGTTAAAAGTTATACGGTTCCAAATAAAGCACTGTTTTAATTAAAAAAAATCAATGTCTGATACTTTTTAATGGTCTGCAGTTACGTGGTAGTTTCAAGACATGGTAAGTCGCAATGATTTGCTGTTTGTATTGGGGGTTTAGCAATAAGAAATATTTAACTCAACAAGGACAAGGCCAGTCTGAACCATGAACGAATCAATTTTATTAAAACAAATATATCATCAACAAACAATTTATCTCCAAACTACAATAAAGTATCCGGAGATAACCCAAAGCATCTTAAATGTTTTACGTATCCTATGCGTATTTGCTAATTGTTCATAGGGGAATAAATGAACCGAGTTTGAACTAACAAGATTATCTTCTTGTTTGTTTGTTTATTTTTTAAGGTGTTCGTGTTCATTTAAATTTTCAATATCATGTTCATGTTCGTTTATTTATTTTTGAAGGTGTTTGTGATCGTTTATTTATTGTTCACGAACATATTAATTTAATGTTGTGTTCATTTATATGTTCATGAACAAGTTTATTTAGCATTCATTTAATGCTCGCGAACATGTTCGTTTATATGTTCTCGAACGTGTTCATAAACATGTTCGTTTAGCGTTCATTTAGCGTTATTTTAGTGTTTGTTTATCGTTTGTATATATATTCGATTTTTAATTTTATTTGCAAACTAAAGAAAAATGATAAAATTACATCACTGGTGCTTAAACTCCTTAAAATTCATAGTTTAAAATTTAATTTTTATCATGTGTTCTATTTAATCCTTGTATTCATCAATATTTAAATGTAAAAAATAAAAGTTTGTTCATGAATATAAATGAACGAGTTGATAAACGAGATTGTTCGTGAACATAAACAAACCAAACACACATTTGTTCGTGTTTGTTCGTTTATTAAGTGAACATAAATTTTTTGTTCATGTTCGAAGCGTAAAATATTTTCAAACAATTCATTGTAAAATATTTTCAAACTATTCATTTTTAGTCAAAATAAAATCATGTTTAAAAGGTAACTATTGACACCAACAAGAAAACTGAAAAAAATAGTACTTTTACATTGGAAAAGCTCATTGTAAAATCTGTTTGGAAAAGTATTTAAAAAAAATATTGTTTATTAGATATGGAACCATTTTAATTGATGTCTTATTTTAAGTTTTATTTTTAAAATTATTTTTTAAAAAAATATATGTTTTTAGTTTTAAGAAAATAAGAATTATTATTTATGTCATGAACAACTTATGATATAAAAATGTTTAAACTAAACAATTTATCAAAAATGATTTTTATTAAATTTAAATTATTGTTTACTATATTATCAATAAATAAAGTAATTTCCTAATGATTTTAAAATGATGATACATATTTTTATTTTTTTTATGAAAACATTTTTTCTCAGAGATGGTGTATTAAATAATAATTTGAAGATAAAATTAAAACGTTTAAAATTATAAAAAAAATATTTTAAATAAAAGTTCTAATTTAAAAATAAAATAAAAAATATTTTTAAAATTTAAAATTCTCGCAGTTGGAAATAAAAAGGAAAAACCAAAAAGAGAAAACAACAGAAAAAACACGTGTTTGAAAACCTAAAACAAAGCAAACAATAAACATTGAAACTCTCTCCATGGAGGCCGAAAAACTCAAGCTTTAACAACAAGAAAAACGGGAAGAAGAAAAAAACATTTATTCCTCGTGCTTTTTAACACATCACCATCCTTCTCTCCCCAGCTTTTCGTTTTCAAAGATCAAAATAACCATTTTCTCCTCCTACTCCTCCTCGTATAAATAAATACATATATTCCTTAGCTGAAAAGCATCCCAATTTCGGTTAACCCTTAATGAAATTGTAAACTTAAGTTAAAAGATCGAGGTCATTTGATTTCAAAATCATCATCTGGAAAACCCAAAAGCAGAAGGGGTCAAAACAGTTGGATTCGTTTGTTGTTTTTGACGGAAGTATGTCGTGTTCCTCGGAATCTACGGGTTTGAAACCGGCGATGTTACTGGAGAAACCAAGCTTTGCCCAAACTTGTAATTTGTTGAGTCAGTACTTGAAGGAGAAAGGTAGCTTCGGAGATCTATCTCTGGGAATGACATGCAAGGTTGAAACTAACGGTATGTTGTTCGTTTCATTTAAATTCTGTGCTTCTTTTCTCAGTTTATATTAATGAAGAATTAAGCTTTGCGCTGTTTCTTTTACTTAAAAGTTCAACATTAATCACCCGTTTTAACATTCGAAATTTGAGATTAATGCTCAAAGTTAGGGTCTTTTTGTTTTTTAAGATACAGATCCTCAAAATCCGATTTGCAGATTGACATGTTCATAATTAATGTTTCGAAACAGTCAGAACACATGCCCTTTAATTTCTCGGTCATCCCCTGAAATTACTCAAATTTTGAAAACTTGCTTTGGAAAAAAGAAATTGTGAAGAAGAAAATAAAGCACGTGATTCAACTGTTTCAATCTTTGCGGGATGACAGAGATCTGAATCATGGACGTAAGTTTTTTAGAACGAAATTCCGTTGAGATTTATCGTTTCTAAGTAGACAGGATAGGGTCATCGAATTCTTCGTTATAATAGCTTTTACTTGGTTTGGTTCATAAAAAAACTTGAGTCGTTTAAACATTAAACCAAGTTCTACAACAACAGAATTTCAGTCTAATCTCTAATGTATATTGATGGATATGTTGCAGGGACCCCACAGGTGCCGCCTACGACTATGAATTTGTTTCCGGTCGATGACAAGTCCGGCGATGTTTGTGGCCGAAGCAATGGAGCTCCTAGGAACTTGGGATCTATGGATTTGTTCCCCGAAGGAGCTGGTTTTTCGGCACTGGCTCCTAAGGACGGTGTTCGGAAAAGGGTCAAATGGAGTGTTACTAACACGAAAAAGTGTGAGCCTCAAACTGCACAGATGAGCATCTTTTATGGTGGACAAGTGATTTCGTTTAATGATTTCCCAGCTGACAAAGCTAAGGAAATCATGCTTTTAGCTAGCAAGAGTAGCTCACAAACCAACAGCGTCAATCCCACCCCTTTTACTTCCAGCAGAGCAACAAGTCCAATTGAATTCAGCTTTGGAGTTCCTCCCACCTCGAAATCGGTTCAACCTGCTCAGATACCCGTTCCTGGCGGTAATCCTTGTTGTCCACATCAGTTTCTTTAATTCAAGGAGTTGGGAGATGGAGTTTTGCTTCATAGTTCATATTTAATATTGGATTTCTTATTAGTTTGTGTCTATTCGCAACAGATCTGCCAATGGCAAGGCGAGCTTCACTGCATCGGTTCCTAGAGAAGCGCAAGGATAGGTAGGCCTAAAGAAGTGCCCTGCAATTCTTTCAATTTTTCATTTCATCAGAGCGTTGTAGGTTATTGCATATTGGTTGTGTTTAGAATTTCGAGTCTTCCCTGTTGGGAGTGACACCATAAGTTGTTGATGTTGATATGGTTATGATCACTTTTCAGGATCACCTCGAAAGCACCATACCAGATAACTAGCTCCGCGGCATCACCTTCCAAGTCGGGCGACAGCATGTCATGGCTGGGCTTGGGTGCTCCATCACCATAGTAATCTAAACCATTGTCTGAACTCGTGTGTTTTTTCCAGGCTTTTCTTAGGCCTTGTATCCTTTGTTCTCTTTTTTCAGCAGGGCAGGCCTGCTGTTTTATTACCTATCTATTCATGCTTGCTTCATATTATCAGCTCTAAAGCCCTGGTAGATGGTCAAATCTGACCGTTGATTAGTTTAATTTTAGTTATTTGTAACAAGGAATTCCCGGTTTATGTTAAGTTTGGAACAAAATTTTGTTTTTCCGGTTTAAGTAAAATAAGTGAATCCATTCCAGGTTCTTGAGACTCCACGTTAAAGAAGCTTTCAACATGTGAAAATGGAATACCTGTGACTGTGAAAAGATATTCCATTTTTCTACTTCTTTAATACACGCTTTCATCCATGAAAAGATATCTCAACAACAACGCGTACTCAACTGATAACCATTTGGAACGGGAACGCGTCAATCCACACTCGTGCATCATTTTTCTTTTATTTCTTGTGAACCCTAAAATTTAACAATAAATCGTCAAAGGTAATAGGATTCTTTATTTTCTTTCACCATGACAAAGGCAGAGGTGTCTTTTTCATTTTATTAAACGTTTTATGTAGTCTGTGAATTGAAGTATGAACCCTCTTCGCTCGTTACATTTCGTTGCGTTGATGTTAATTATATAGTGGAGTTGGCCGGTGGTTTTTAGAAAAGTCGAAAAATCAATGTCTTGTCATTTATGAAACATGAGTCGATATGAATTCTCAATACTCGTATAAACACAACTCAAACATTAAAATATTAAACCAACCAAAACACCTTGATAATAAAAGAGTCGTCGTTATTTCTCGAAATTCCAAGTACCATGAATATCAAAATACCAACATTCAATGTCATCAAACATCACTCATAGGCTCACCAAAAGCCATCGTCTAATGTCTAGGCTCGTTAAAAGCCATGTGCTTGTAGATTTGGTGCTGCCATCTATGGCCAGTGCAACTTTTATGTTATTGTGGCATGACCTATAAAATGGTTGGATTCTGCACTACTCATGGGGGAAACAAACCTACTCCTCCAGGAACAAACTCTTGAGTTGAGTTTACATCCGCTGCTTAGGATGTGTATTTGGATTCATTGCACGCTCTTGAGTTGTTGGCAATGAACACGCTTTCTAACTTTAAAAAAGACATTTAAGATTCCATTAAATTGTGTCGGTAGGGATTGCTAAGGGCTAGCGGCAGAAGCAAATCTATATGTAGTCGAGAATTTTCTTTTAGAGATTCTTCTATTTCAGAAGTGTTTTAAATGATGAAATAATGACTCAAGTGGTCCAAAAAGAAGTTGAAGCAACTAATTTAAAAATGGTCATGCCAAGCCGGGCAAACCATGTGGCTGGTACCTAGCATGTGCAATAACATTGATGGGTAAGAGACAACATTCATGATCTAGTAATGTGGGTGTCACAAAGTAGAAATGCATTGATGGAACAACTTAATCCTACAGGAGCTAGAAAGTTTCCAAATAATTTCTGCTGTTGAATAAATGGGGATCGTTTCCAGTAAAAAAAAACTCAGAAAGTGAAGAGGGAGATGAATCCAATTTGGGAATGATATTTCGGTTACTTCAAGTTGGGGTATGTCCAAAGCAACTCAAAAAGTCAAGCCGCAATAGAAGAGGCAGTTAAAATCCAATATCAATAATGTTCCTTTATAGACAACCTCAAAAACAAGAAACCTGTTAGGTTAGTTCAACCAATCTTCTGCTTCTAATTGGCTTATTCCTTTGAATTCCAAACCCAAGAGTTTCATTGTTGAATCCAAAGAAGCAAGGCTATGAAAATCGGCTACAGAAACTTGCCATTATCTTTTCATCTACAAACATAACAAATCTTTGCATTCCACTAACATGGGATCTACCAATGAAGAACCAGTTTCAACTTTTAAAAAAGAAAAGAAAAGCTTGTCAGGCTAGAAAGTCCAAACACCAGGCGGATGAAAATAAGCGCGGTCGGATCTGTCTCCCACACCACCACTCTCGAAATAACACTCTGCATAAGAATTAGCAGCAGCAGCCACTTACGTTGCTTCTTTCTCAGAAACCCGACCCGCGTGCCTGAAAGCCGCTTCCTTGATTTGAGCCGTCGTCAAATCACCAGCGTCCGCTATATCCGGAGGATTTTCGGGAAAGTTAAGCTTTGCCGAATTCCCCCGCAGACAGAAAACGGCGTCGTCGTAAGCTCTCGCGGCTTCTTCCACCGTCTTGTAAGAACCCAACCATATTCTTCCTCTGCTGTTGGGTTGGCGTACTTCCGCCACCCACTTCCTCATCCGTACACCCTTAAAACGGCTGCCGTCATCCTTCTCCCCTATCGGCCTCATCATTTTTCTTCTCCTTGATTCTCTCTTTTCAATTTTGTTGGATTATTCTTATATAGTTAAAAGATGAAATAACATAGGGACTGATTTGCAAAATAAGTGAAAAAAACAAGGTGGGCGGCGGCGGGGCGGAGAGAGCGCGTGGACATTTGATAAGATGACACGTAGAAAAATAAGAGGGAAATGAGCCGGGATTTTTCGGTGATGGAAACGTGAGGATCCGAAGTGGAAGTTTTAGGGCCGTTGGATATGGATAGAGACGCAAAACGTGGGGACGGAATTTATTTGTTTTCATTACATGGATGGTGGACACGTGGAGCATGTTGGGAAGTTTCTTCGCTTTGCTTCTATTTATTGTTATTTTGTCTTCTCCGGAAGGTCGAATTAAGTGAAATGTTACCTAATTACGTGTTTGATTTTAGTAAGACTTCAAAGGTTAGTAATATGAGATTTATCTTTAAAGTTTTAAAATATTACTTCATACAAAATATTTTAATATCATATACAAATAAAATCTTAAGGATCCAACTTATAAAATTTTAAGTAGAAAAAAGATTATAAAATTTTAAAGGGATGTAAATATATTCAATATAAAAATATAAAGAAAATATATAAAATATATAGGAGTTTAAAATTTTTAGAGGTGGCGATTGCCCCCACCCTTCCATCCATATTTGATTAATTATTAGTATCCGATTTATTAACCGACTAATCAAAATCAGTTATAGTATAGGTGAGGATGATCCTTACCCTTCCATCTCTATTTAATATACAAAGTGAATATAATTTGATATTGGGTAAATTACATAAATAGTCATTAATTATATATGGATCTAGACTAATGAATCAAAAAATTTATCAATCAAATTACATAACTATTTAAAAGATATTAGTCATCTACTACTAATTGTTAATAAAAATATTGGCATGATATGTTTTTATAAATCTGAAATAAATACAATATAATATATGTTCAAAAACTCTCAACCATTTGACATGAATGCTTATACCCCTAGCATTTATGATACTCGAACTCAAGACCTCAAGGGATAGCAACAAATCTCTTAACCATTGAGATTGCTTAATTCGTGTGACACTATAAAATTTTTATAATCACGCATTCGGATTTTATTGCTTTTAAATTCTATCAATTTAGTTTTTTTTATTTGATATCTAAAATATAGTTTTTAATAATTAAAATTATCATCAAATTTATAAAATGTGTAATTAACCAGAATTAAATTATAATTATATAAATTTATTTAACTATTGTAATAAATATTAACAACATATAATTTAATTAACATAATTTAAATAGTTAATTGACATGATTTGATGAAATAATAAAACAACAGTCAAATCTAAGTTTCTATAATTAATAACTTTTAAAGTAGTTTTCATTTTTATAGTTAAGTTGGATACATAAAAATGATATTGAAGTTGTTGAGGAATCCAAAATCTCTAGGAAAGAATCCAAATATCTTATACACAAAATCCCAGCTTGTCGGAAACTTTTAGAAAAGACAAATGTCTCTGCCAATAATTCTCCCTATTCCATTCTGTTTTTCTGTATCTCTCAGCTTTATTAAGATTGTTAATTGTCGTTGAAAATATAAGTTTATTTTATATGAAAAATTAGAAAAAGAAATCTATTTTTTTATTGAATTAAAATAATTATAAGGTAATATTGTTCTAAATAATCTCACTTATTTAATAATGAATGCTCAATAACGCTATTATAAACTAGGTGTTCAAACACATAATCTTTAGAAACAACAATAATTCTTTTAAGAGAAAATCGCCTCAGTGACCAAAAAAAAGTTATAATATACGATTTTAACCAACTTTTTTTGGATTTGCCAAAATGACCAACAAAATCGCAACGCGAAATAAAAATCGCAACGCGATCCCCAGAATCGCAAATCAGTTTCCAAAATCGCAACGCGATTCTTGAAAATCGCAATGCGATAGTACAAATTCGCATTGCGATTTTCCAAAATCGCAACGCGAATATGAAAATCGCAACGCGAACACATAAATCGCAACGCGTATCCGTAAATCGCAACGTGTATCCGTATATCGCAACGCGTATCCGTAAATCGCAATGCGTATCCGTATATCGCAACGCGTATCCGTAAATCGCAACGATAATCCGTAAATCGCAACGAGAATCTGTAAATCGCAACGATAATCCGTAAATCGCAACGAGAATCTGTAAATCGCAACGATAATCCGTAAATCGCAACGAGAATCTGTAAATCACAACACTGAAATTTTGGGTATATAACACTGAAATCATAAACTAAATCCCTAAATCGCAACTCATTCCATCTCCATCTATCACTCTCTCCGCGACATCCGTTCCTATATCCAACGCATCCTTCCCAATCCGGCAACAGGTTTTAGTTTCGCAGCTCGTCTGTTTAGTAAATTAATTTACAACCATGAAATCATCTAATGTTGATCATGTTTGGATAGATTTGTGTTTTGGAGGGTCATGGGATAATGTTCATGGTGTTTTACAATATATGCCTTTACCCATGAATCTTCAACTAAAATTGTCTTTACAAAAGTTAACTTATGAAACTCTAATGCTACGTGTTTTCAAAAAATTGATTTAGAGCCCCTAATGGATTTAGGCTATCTTATCAGAGAAATGGTAAAGTTTATTTGTTAACCGACAATGAAGATGTTGAACGATTCATTGCTTACATTAGTGTTTCACAAGATGTTCATTGTAGTTGTTGAACCTAGAAGTAGTATTGTTGGGTCAGTACGGGTAGTAATCAACTAAGTTTTTCTCAAAACCCACAACCTTCTCTAATCCAAATCCCAATCACTTTCAGCACCAAATTCCGGTTTTCGTATTGACCAGTTAGACGATGATGAGCCAACAGAAAAATTGTGAGTACTAGTCAGTATTCGAAATTTGGTCTTGGTCATATCCGGACTTTGATATTGGTCAATACACGGATTTTGATGATGTTTCAGAAGAAGAACAGACCCTGCGTGTAATGATTTTGATATTGGTCAATACCCGAATTTTGATGATGAAACAGCCGTTGCCGAAGAATGTATTGTTGATGATAATGAGGAGGAAGTTACGACTGTGAATGAACATGTTGAACATCCATTCTGTAATTCATATAATCCTGAAGAAGAAAAAGAAGAAGAAAAATCCCCGAAGAAAAGAAAATGCCACGGGCGTATAACTGGAATATGCCAGAATTACTTCAGATACCGGAAGAAGAGTTGGTAAAGAAAGCAGTTGATTGTTACACAAAAGTTATTCGTATCAAGAAAGATGATTGTTTTGATACAAGGAAGACTTGAAGATAGCTTTGTATACGAAATGTGTGGAAGATGGCTATCAACTAAAAGTTAACAAATCAAGCAAAGATCGTTTCGAAACAAGGTGTATGATTGACAAAAACTGTATGTGGCGAATGATTGCAAAGAGAATAAAAGATTGTGGAAATGTTTCAAGTTAGGACTTTTATTGATAAACATACATGTTCAAGAACCCAAGTTTTTCCTCACCATAGACAGGCAAACAAAAAGTGGCGAATGATTGCAAAGAGAATAAAAGATTGTGAAATGTTTCAAGTTAGGACTTTTATTGATAAACATACATGTTCAAGAACCCAAGTTTTTCCTCACCATAGACAGGCAAACAAAAAGGTGTTGGGTGGTTTTCTGGCTAAGTTAATGTTTTTGAATGGCAGGGTATATCGGGGACATGAAATTATGACTGACATGAATGCTCGGTTCAAGATTAGTATATCATATTCTCAAGCTTGGAGAGCCAAATGTTATGCCTTGGAATTGTTGAGGGGGTCGCCAGAAGCATCGTTTGCCCAACTGCCGGCTTATTGTCACAATTTAAGCTGAAAAATCCTGGGTCGGTAACTCATATCAAAACAGATAGAGATGGACGCTTTGAGTTGCTGTTTATCGCCATTGGTGCTACGGTTAGTAATCAATATAATTTTGTTGACTCATTTTTGTTAGTTACATGCATTTCACATTTAAATGATTATATTTCTTGTGTATATTATTTTGTAGATTCGTTCGTTTATTACTTGCATGCGCCCAGTTATATAGTTGACGGAGCACATTTGAAAGGTCGATACCTTGGAGTAAACTTATTAGCAGTAGCCTGGATGCTAACAATGGGATATTGCCAATAGCTTACGGGGTTGGCAAATCTGAAACCTCTGATTCATGGACATGGTTTATGGGCATCTTAGGGATTGCATAGGTCCTATTAGCAATCTGACAATCATATCCGATAGGGCAAACTCAATTGACAACGCTGTTAGAAGGTGTTTCCCAGATGCTTTTCATGGACTTTGTGGTGTTCATTTGTATAGAAATCTAAAAACAAGGTCTGCTGGTATAAAAAAGAACAAATGGACATACTGGAAGGCTGTAAAGCTTATCGGGAAGTGGATTTCAATAAGCATATAAATTGTTTAAGACGTTTTGCCTCAGTGTGCTCAAACACTAGAAGATGTCGGGTTTGAAAGATGGTCAAGAGTACATCAACTTGGAGCAAGATATGGTTTCATGACGTCTAATAGTGCAGAATCAATCAACGCTCTAAGTCGTCATTCCCGGAAATTACCCATTACTATGGTTAATGGAGTTTTTTCGAGCCTCTATTCAACAGTGGTACTACAAGAAAGAAACCATGTAGGTATTATTTCTTTGAATTCGTAACTTATCATATTTATATATTTTACTAAGTATTGTTTTTAAATTTACAGGAACATTGAACTCGTGTTACACCATGGACTGAAAAAAAGATAACGAAACGTGTTGTGAAGTCAACGTCATGGAGAGTTGAACCATGTTCAAACACTTTGTTTCAAGTACTGGATAATAACTTAAATGGGCTAGTCGATCTAAATGCAAAGACGTGTAGTTGTATGAAATGGCAAACATCTGGTTTCCGTGTGGCCATGTTATAAAGTTGCTCTTCATTTAAACCAAGATGATTCAAGCGCATACGCTATGGATGCTACACTACAGAAATTTATCGACAGACTTATGCCGAGATTGTCTACCC